CCTCAAGGTGTTTGATGCAGTGGCATAAGTAATAATAAAAATGTCAGTGGCGGCAGTGCTCAATCTTTCAAAAAAGTATGTGCTTTTGATTCAGTAATTTAATCTTTTGATTTGTGTAGATTTTGAAAACGTCTTTTTGATTTTGGTTGCAACTTGTTAACTCACTAGGCACTTGGTCTGCTTGCTTCTGCTGACAAGAAACTGGTGTCATTTGTTAAAGCATTACTTGGAGCTCGCGATATTTTACTCGACGAAATGCAAAGACTTAGCAAGGCAATTGATCAATCTATTGACTTGTCTGACTTTGTATCAAATATGAACAATGTTCCGTTATCTCACTCAGCAGTTGATGGTTCAGGACAAGGCAAGGAACAAAACAGTCTTGAGGTCCTTGCTTCATTTTGATGCTGACTGGTTTTTAAAGACTATTTTGTTTTATCTTCTTCTGCTTATTTCTCCATTCTCTTGGCCTCAGAACTTGAATATCACCTTTGATTTAGCAAGTGATGACTGGCTTCATGAACTCTCGAAGGATCAGCTATCTCGTCTATTCCACTTACTGGGAACCCAGCTACATTATCTTTGGAACACATTTCTGGGATTTCACCGGTAATTCTTCTTGGGCTTAAACTAAGTTGCATGCCAATATGGTTTCTTAAGCTATCTCATGAAAGACTATCTAAAGATATCAACATTCTAGGTATTTATCTCATGTGTACTTTATAGGGATAATAACACAAAAATACTGGAATATCTTCGTGATATCTGGACTAAAGACCGGAGAGCTGAATGGTCAATATGGATGGTGTACTCTAAGGTTGAAATGCCCCATCATTTTATAAATAGTGGAATGACTGATATCTTAAACCAGAGTGCGCACAAAAGGACCTCAAGTGTGTTAAAGTTGAGCGATGTAAGTTTAGTGTTGTTGTCTCTGTTTACCAAATTTTGTGAAAAAACAAGCCTGGCTCATCCGATTTTTGCTCTGATGCAGCCTGCCCAACTTGCAGCTAACCGTGCTGAACTTCACCGTCGAAGTATCGCGCAGATGCGGGTTTGTTCTGTTTTTCTGTTCGATTTAGTTCCCTCTTGGCTTCATAAGCTGTTGATTTATTGTCTCAATGCAATTTTTTGGTGCAGATTAATAACCGTTCAATACAAGACATGCATATACTTGGAGATCCTATGCGGGTTCCTATTATTATAATTGAACGTGTTTTGAATGCACCAAGACGCACTTTAAGTGATAATTCATACTTGAGACATGTGGATATGCTCGATTCTAGCCCGCTGAATGGGCACAGCGATGAAGCGGAAAACACAAAAGCTACTAACTCCCAGCAAAGTGGCCGTGAACTAAAAATCGTTGTTTTTGTGCATGGTTTCCAGGCAAGTATCTTTTGACAATTCAGTGAAATATAGGAGCAATTTCGTTTGCTAGGTCCTTCCTTTCTCGATCTGTTTTTCACTCACTTGATAGAATATTGTTTATATTTGCTACCATAGGGGCATCACTTAGACTTAAGGCTTGTCCGGAATCAGTGGCTTCTGATAGATCCAAAGATAGAGTTTCTTATGTCTGAGGCAAATGAGGAGAAAACACATGGCGATTTCAGGGAAATGGGACAGAGGCTTGCACACGAAGTTGTTTCTTTCCTTAAGAGGAAAAAGGATAGATATGCGAGACATGGGCATTTGAAAGGCATCAAATTGAGTTTTGTTGGACATTCCATTGGAAACGTCATCATCAGAACAGCACTTGCGGGTAATATTCTTAGAAATGGTTAATGTTGGATGAG